CTCAGCGTTTAATTCTACATAAACTTGTTGTTCAAAAATTTCCAATAAACTAACTAAAGTTATATAAGTCTATATTATTTGTATGCAAATTAATTTGTTTACAGTTATTTAACTTCAAATCAATGCTTTAATAATGATAAATATAACTGATTCAAATAACAGATACCCAACTATTAGATACTTATTTATTTCTTTCTTATTTAAGTATAAGTGTACTGTTATTTAACGAGGCGGTGAATTTAAACTGGGTTGTCAATCTTAAGAAGCTTTAATATCGAGGTTTTACGAGATAAAACATTTTTTAAATATAAAAAATAAAACAACAAATTTTAACAAAAATATTTTAATTATCTTTATTGTTTTTATAAAAAATTATGTAAAACTTATATAATTATATAAACTGTATTTATAATTCTTAATCCATCTAACCTTATTGAACAATAAAATATGATAAATAATTTGGGACACGATTAGAATTACATATTGTAGCAAAAATTTCCGTTAATTTTATTACTTTAAAAATTTGATGTAAATTAAATATAAATTATAAGAATTACACTAGAATTCAATTGCTTTTAGCTTATGATCAAATGATTTTTACTAACGCGAACTTTCGGTCAAATCATTTTTACGTTCAGTCAATTCATTATGACATAAGTGAGTGTTGTATTGCAAGCACTGCGACAACAATCGAATGAAACGTCGCACTCTTACAATGACTGCATTCATTGCATACAAAACTCACTCATGTCATAATGAATTGACTGAACGTAAAAATGATTTGACCGAAAGTTCGCGTTAGTAAAAATCATTTGACCATAAGCTAAAAGCAATTGAATTCTAGTGTATAATCATTTAGAAATACAGGTCTAGACTTATATAATAAGATTTAGACATCAAAGTGTTTTCAGTATCAAATATATTAAAATAATACAAATATAAATAATTAATTTACAAAATAATAAATAATTAGTGCTCAGATAAATTGCTGTGATAAATTTTATTAGTTGTTCTTTAATTTTTTATATGCTTACAATTTATTGTAATAAATGCATCAAGGATATATTAATATTCCAATACATTTATTATTTTAAACAATGAAATGTATATATTATTTTTGAGTTAAAAAACTGTAAACAAATTAATTTGCATACAAATAATATAGACTTATATAACTTTAGTTAGTTTATTGGAAATTTTTGAACAACAAGTTTATGTAGAATTAAACGCTGAGTTTGAAAATGTAATTTGTAATTTTCAATCTCGTAAAATTTTTGATTTATTTGACTTAAAAAATTTTGTCAAAAACTAACTGTATTTCATTAATACAATATATGAATTCGAAGTAGATAATTCATAATAGTATAAAGTAAATATAAATTATAATAATAATAATGTAAATATACAAACAATATAATAAACTTTTTCACCAGAATTATAGTCAACATGTTTTGTATTAATAATGAAATTAATTTTATTTAATTAAGATAGATATAAACTCAGTCTTTCGACCATAATAATATAATATGGGCGTAGGTGATAAACATAATTTGCTGTTCAAGTTGCAATTTTATTATATAACTCAAGTGTTTACATCTCAATTGATTGATAGTGGTCTAAAATTTAGATTAAATATGTTTATGCATGCAATAATTATCAACATAACTTTACTATTACCGTAAATAGTAAAACAACAAGTAGTAAAACAAATTTTGTCCATAGATATGATAAAATAATTTACCTGTTTTTCATGACATATGTGTAAGTTCCGATTAATTAAGCAATCATGTTGCAATTTGTAAATGAAATACCACGTATATTTTTATATATAAATAGAGTGGCAAACATCGAGCACAGCATAACAATTAATATTAACCTAAGAGTTAATAAAACTTAACAAGTCAAAACAACTTTATCCATTTAACTAAAACATGTCCTACATAATTAAGTTGGCATTATTAACCGCGTTGGTTTGCACCATGGTCCGGGCCAACAGTTTACCCCGATTTTTACTTACCGCTGGCACCGATGCTAAAGATGCAAACACATGCATAGCTCTACTTTTAAATAGACCATGTCACAAAATTGTTAAGATGAGTCAAACTGAACCATACTATTGCTGTATGCTTTGGAACTTTTTAGAATGTTTTCAAACTAACTACAGGGTAAGTTTTTACAGTTTTTACAAACATTGCTGCTTAGTTAATAATATACTTGTATATTAATAACAAGATTAATTAATTTTTTTATTTAATTGTTTTTTAAATTTATATATTACATATGCTATGAATTATATACAATAATTAATATAGTATTAATGTTATTATTATCTAGTTTATTGTTGTTGTACAATAAATTAACTTTAATTATTTACAAATAACTAATTTATACATTACCTTGCTAATACATATTTTTTCTGATCTTAGTCTACATGTAAACCTGATGACGCGGCAGCCCTCGAAAAGATCTGGTATCAGGTTCACTTAGATATGATTACAAATGATTACACTCAGGCTAACTGTACCGCACACAACTATGGTCAATATATGAGCAGGGACGTTTGCAAAGGCTAATATGTTATAATAAATTTATGATTATTAATAATATATTATTCATAAAATTACAATTATATATATATTTTTATACTAAATTAAACATTGTAAAATGTATATTAATTAATTAAAATTTTTTGGACAATAATAAATAATTATTTGTTATATAATTAATGCAATTTAATGAAACTTGTAATAAGTGATACCGTATCACTGATACGTATTACTATTAATGTAAAATCCCAAATATTAAAATTGTCAACTAATGTAATTATTACACTTAAATCATCATTAATTAACAATTATTATAATTAATTATTTTTAATTATTTAGTATACCTATAATTTTAATAATTGTTATCAAATATTAAAAAGTTAAATATTTTTTATCAAATTGTTATTAGCAAAATATTAATAGTACATTATTCTATTATTCAAAATAAGTAATTATTTACATGTAAATTACATTCACAAGATTGTTAAATTACATTTGGCACAATAGTAATCTTTAAACATACAATTATTTAAAAAAACGCTAGGTCAACTATATTCCAAAGTTGTTATTAATAAATATTTTGTAATATAAAATTACTTTTCTATGATTATAATTACAGTTGGTAAAGTGCAAAATATTTTAACTTTAAAGTTAATTTTTACAATTAATTAATTAATAAAGTACAATTAATTAATAATATTAAATGTGAAGTGTTGGATGTATTAATATAACCTGTTAATTTAATATAAAATTACACCATGCTTATAAAATTATGTCTTATGTCTTTATATTACAACTTTTCATGTATGCAATGCCGTGAGTTAATGAACATGGTGCAATTCTATTAAAACACTCAAATCATTTGATAAGAATCAACCGTATATTAAGTTACATTATACATTATTATACTAGAGTACTTTATCTTAATATATTAGAACTTAAACACGTTCAAAACAGTATAGATAATTTGAACCTCGTTTATACAATAATGGTGTAATTTTGTTTTTAATAGATTAGGTAAATATTATTTTGCATAAATAGCAAAACACGAATTAAAACTACAATTCACATTGACTTACCCATTTAACTTAACAAGTTAGAAAGCAAGCTCAAACAAACCAACAATGTCCTACATGATCAAGTTGACACTATTAACCGTAGTGTAATGCGCTGTTGTTCAAGCTAACACCCTAACCCAGTTAACACCGATCACAATCGGTATCGGTGCTAATGATTCGGACAACTGCCTGAGTATATTGTTTCTAACTGTATGTCGCCGTGAATTCAAACCTATTTATACCGAACAATACAACTGTTGTATGGTTTGGGATCTGTTGGACTGTTTTAAAGCCAATTATAAGGTTAGTTATTTAATTAAATAATTTATTAAATCTATAATAAAATTTAATTGTTTTATAATTAATTTAATTATTAATGTTGATTCATTTTATGCGTGTAAATTAAATTAATAATTTTAAATTATGTTTTAAATTATTAAACCATGTTAATTAAATACAATTGTTTTATAGCGTGATTGTAACCCCGAAGACGCCGCTGACCTCGAGAAGAAATGGGATCAGATTGGAATTAAAAATGGTAATGTTATTTACCATCAGGCAAATTGTACGGCTGACCATTTTGGTCATGAAATGGCCAGGGATGTTTGCAAAGATTAGTCGATTTAAACAATGTATGTTTACCAATATAGCCTAAACATAATAATTATAAGTTTATTATGATTATTGTTAACAGATTGACAAATTATTTTAAAAATTAAGCTATACAAATTAACAAAAATTTACTGATTTATAAAATTTTAAATAATGAATAAAGCATTTCAAAACAATATTTAGCAATGTACGGTACATTTACTTTGTATAGTTTATTGTATTAATGAATTATAGTATAATTTTAATATTTAATCAATTAATTAAACTTATTTTACCATAGTAATAAAATTTAGTAAAATATATTAAATGGAGCAATAATAAGACAGTCAGTAATTGTAGTTATAAAATGTTAGTAAATAAAAACTTATTAATATAGACTACAACAAGAAATAAAACATTATGATTAATATAGCAATAATCCAAATACTACAACAAAAGGCAATCATTTTTTCTTTGATACTATTATTTAACCAAAGGTGTTTACGTTGGCCTAATCGTTTACCCTGCTCCATAAATAGCTCGGTAGCCGCTTCAACGTCAGTGGTAGTGTTAACATGTTCAATGTCTGGGCAAGCTGGTTTAGTATTGTTTTTGCTATTTAAATGTAATGTCCCACATAGTACGTACGCTCTACTCTATGCAACAAACGATAATTGTGCTAGATTATCGATAAATGTTTTTATATGATTATGTAAACACATTTGATGTATAACATACATATCTTGACTGATATATAAAGACTTATTTACAAGTTTAGATCAAAAGTTTATAATAAATAAGATTAGTTCATTTTAAATTAAATTAATAAAAACTGTAAAAAAGTATCTATTGTATATTATTTATTTAAAATTTAATACATACTTAATCACTTGGAGTTAAATGCTGTTATTGTACTATTGCCGTTTGACTAACCCCTGGTTACCCCTGTATTTGCCACACTAACGGACATATGATC